AAAAGCGTTGTATATTAAAAAGTTTTTTTTATATTATTTATTTCTGCTTACATAACCAGTATACATATATTATAAAAAGCGGCCAAATCGGCCCATAAACAAGTTATATGGAGAACTTATTTTTTATTTCTTTCGCGGTAGACTTTTCGCTGGAATCGCCCATAAGCTTTTCTCTTTCACAATAATACAAATCCATTTTTTTATTTACGTATGTACATTAGACCGCATCACCAAAAAAAGCTGCGCTTTTTCCTGCGGGATTACAAAATCTAGTATATTTTAAGACCTTTGCCAAAATATTTCGGAAAAAAATATAAAGATTTACGTTAGCTGGATCACTAAAATGGAGTTTTTTATGAATAAAAAAGTTTCTTAAAAGATTATTTGGAAAAAATCCCTCAGATGACAAAACCATTTAAGCTTAAAAAAATATACATAAAAATATTAACATTTTTTANTCGAGAAAAAAGGGGTTGAAACCCCTAAAAACAGCGTTTTTGGCCATTTAAGCTTAAAAAAATATACATAAAAATATTAAAATTTTTTATTTTTTTTTTGCAACGGAATCATAATAATGACATTCTTGACGCTGTTTTTTTTAAATTTTTCAAAGAGTTGTGTCTGAAAAACTTGAAAAACTGCTCCAGAACTTTACCGATATAGACTTATGAGGTATCCGCGGAAAGTTATTTTCTCAGCCTTTTTATTTCTTTGAAAAAAAACTCATTCACGTCCCAATTTTTTCTTCATAATATACCAACACATCTTAATTCAACATGGAATGACGCTCGTTTATGTTACCTTCCTCTTTCTTACTTTGAATGAGCTTATTCGCAAAGAAAATAAAAGGTTGAGAAAATACCATACCAATGATACCTCACGAATCTAATTTGGTAAGGTGTTGGCTGAGTTATTCAAGTTTTTCTTAACCCAGTCTTTGAAAAAAGTTCTAAAATAGCATCAAAAATCTCNAAACTTGAAAAACTGCTCCAGAACTTTACCGATATAGACTTATGAGGTATTTCTTTGCAAAAAAAAACTCATTCACGTCCCAATTTTTTCTTCATCATATACCAACACATCTTAATTCAACATGGAATGACGCTCGTTTATGTTACCTTCCTCTTTCATACTTTGAATGAGCTTATTCGTAAAGAAAATAAAACGTTAATATCTCATGAATGATATCTCACGAATCTAATTTGGTAAGGTGTTGGCTGAGTTATTTAAGTTTTTCTTAACCCAGTCTTTGAAAAAAGTTCTAAAATAGCATCATAAATCTCATTATTTATTACGATTCCGTTTAAAATTTATTATTATTATTTTTTTTTAATATTATTATAAAACTTTTTTAAGCTTAAACTGTTTGGGCCTTCGAAGGAATTTTTTTCAAAAAAATATCAAAAAAACTGTTTTTATTAATAAAAAACTTCATTTTTGGAGGTATTTTCAAATCGGTCCGGCTCACTTAAATCTCAATATTTTTCCGAAATATTTTGGCGGACGTCTTGAAATATAATAGATTTTATAATTCCAGTGGAAAAACAGTACCGTTTTTTTTTTGTGGAGAGTGATGAGGTCTAATATACATACATACATGTGCATTTAGCCTTAATAATTTTTGGAATCTTTAAATTTTGTTAGTTCGCNATTTTATAATTCCAGTGGAAAAACAGTACCGTTTTTTTTTTTGTGGAGAGTGATGAGGTCTAATATACATACATACATGTGCATTTCGCCTTAATAATTTTTGGAATCTTTAAATTTTGTTAGTTCGTATAATTAAATTCTAATCCGTCCCAGGTTGTCTTGCGTACGCAGTGCGAACAATAGCGAATCCCTGATAGGACATTTGAAGAAGCTGTCAAAAGTAAGTTCAAATGTAATTTTGGAATTAAATACATAAACATACATATTTGTGTATCACAAGGCGAATTAAAACAAGGTGGTAGCAAAAATTAAAAAAAAAACATCACCCCTATGTATTTGTTTTTGCATTTGGCGCATGTGCTGTCAAATCAGAAAAAGCAAAACCAAAATACATGTAACGCGAGAAAGCAGCTGGGCTAACAACACCACATTGTTTGTATTCGGCTTGTAGATATCACATAAATCTCACTTTGGTACTCACATTAGTTATTGTAGGCATTGAGACTGTGACGAAAAGAGTAGCCTTAAATTCTGCCGGCTTATGAGCGCGTTGCATCATTAACAATGCCAGTCTTTTGTAACGCATATCAGCATCGTACCAATTGTGATTGTAAATAGCATTGCTAATATACTCACTCTAGAGAGACAAACAAACCAAAGGCCAAGAGAAAGAGAGTAAAATTTACAATAATATACAGACAATTGTAAAACCATAACTTTACCGACTCTAGCAGTCCCTGTGCATAGTAACAGATAAAGAAGAGGTCCACCAGCGAACTAAGAAGAAATAAAGTGCCCAACACCACCGTATCGATGGTGACTTTAGCGGTGATTTGGAATAGCTCAATGCAGGTGTTCACCGATGTCATTGCGAAAGTGAGAAGCATACAAATTCCGAAGGCTTTATTCATTGCCTTTGAGAGCCTAAAATTGGTTTAAATTAATTAGTACACCTAGCGAACCTAAATATGTATGTAAATGCTTTAAAACTTATACAAACGTCAAAATTTTCTGATGATAGGCTATAATGCCGTGCAGAAACCGCAAATCGATCTCACTGCGCTCAAGGTCGCTCAGTCGCCGCTTTTTCATTTCATTTCCGCCGCTCTCAGCTACTACGTAACTCTCAATCCGTTTGGCCAGCTGGCGGTAGTGCATGATAAGTTGCACAGCCACCGCACTGAAGAGCAAATCATTGGCCAACTGTGTCGAAATACAAGCGTGCGCAACGGTGAGTTGTGACAAATACATCGGATAGTAAAGCCAATTATCGCACCAGACAAACGGTGTCCAGCAGTTAAAGCTAAGCATTTTACCTACTTTCCGCAACTCCAGCCAATATTCAAAAATAAGATAGCTAATTAGCGGCCAGAGAGTATTGCTCCAGACTAACAATACATTTAGCATAATATAAGCATTGCCTAAACGATTCCAATTTTTCAGTTCGGCTTTTACTTGGTAGAGCATCTGGCCTCCCAATGTTTGTGGATAGAGCGCGTAGAGCTCTTGCATGAGCGAGCTAATCCGTGAACGTTGCCACCATATGCTGAAGATTTTCAATTCGCTGATAATGAGCGCGTTTCCTATTGAACCCAGCATAGTTGCTTCAATAAAGTTGTTGTTATTTACGATATCCAAAAATATTTGAATCAAGACGCTCAGCAATGTTAAATTCAGATTGACGATTGTAACGGTGAAAATAATGCGTTGCAAGTGGCGTCGTACCAGTGCAAGTTTTCCTCTTCGTGGCTCATTGCTGACTTTATCGTAGGCATTCACCCCAATGCAGTTGAAGAAAATTTTGGCTTTATAGAAGAAACTTTCGAAATGTATCGGCTTGTTGGACATTTCGATTGGTTATGAGTGTGGGGCAGGTGATTTGGTGGGTATTTTATACCAAACATCTAAGGTATGAGTAGGCGCCCATGTGCCCATGCGTATTCAGTAATTTCAACAATTATGTTCACGCAGCATAATTGCCATAATAGCGGCTGATTGCTTTAATTGTTTACACATACAAAAAAAATTCCAAGAAATACTATTTCGATCCTTTACTAGGTGTCGAGACTCAAAAGTAGCGCATGCATTAAGAAGGGTAACATATGTATAAAAACTCGGTCGTAATCAAAGCTGCGGGTACAAAGTGTGTTTGAAATTAGAGCGGGAGTAGATTTGTGTAAATTTGCCTTATGCTTTAAAGGGGGATGCCATACCAAAAATTGGACTTGTCAGACCTTGCACAATTTTTGGCAAGACATTGACCAAAAGCTCCCAAGAGAGCTTTTAGCCTACTCTGCATATTGACATGCGTTTCGACCAGAATGACTCTCATTTAGAGGGAATGATAGTAGGCGCTAGTTGGCTGTGAAACTTCAGCATGGTCATGCAGGTTTTTTCTTGCCAGCATTTGCGAAAAGAAATTATAATAAAAAAACTTTCCATGCGTTGCGGGGCATTCTCTGTGCTAATATTTTTGTCCGGCACTATATGTAAGAAAAAATTCCTAAGCATTGCCGCAGAAATTTTAGATTAAATGGTGGTTTGTAAGATTTGAAAACTTTTTTGTTAGTTTCGATAGAAAGACTCAATAAATAAATAGATATTATATATAAAAAAGAGAAAAATTTAAATTACCTTTCATATATCATTCAAATATTCCAGAAAACTAAAACATTATGAAACGATTCTATATTTGGGGCAAACTACACAACATTAGCCACATTGTATTTATGAAACGCAAAACGCGATATGTTGCCTTAACTTTTTTTCTCAGTGTAATTTTAAAACTTAAATATAATTTACAAATTGCTAATAAAAAACACTTTATAGCCAATGTTGTTAAACGATGCAGTAATTACATAATTAGCGCGCACGGCAGGTTAGAGTAAAACATTTTTTTTTAAATTATGTAATTGGATTTTGTTCATTTTATAAATTTGATTACATTTTTCAAATCGTTACAAAAAATACATGCCAGCTGTAAATAATTACTAGGCGTATCCGCGACTCCAGTTTGTGATGTCTTTTACTGTTGCATATACACTCCCAGTCACTAGATTAGCACACGGAAAAGTTTATGTGTATACTAGTTTATACTAACATAAAACGAAACATCATTATGCCACGTAGCCATGTCTCAAATACACACACAACATCCACACCAGAAGACTCAAAGATAAACCTGAATTTATCAATTTAAATGGTAGGATTTTTGGGCTGCTCAAGTTGCGCATATTTGCTCTCAATTTTCGCGAAGCCTTACCGCGAAATCCCTTATACTCCGCTTAATGTTCGACAGATCAGCTGTAATATCGCTAATTTTACTCGGTACCTGTTGTTCAGATGACTTCAGTCGTGCAGTTATCTGCTCCTCAACGTTCTGAATTTTCCCTTCAAGCCGTCTAATCCATAAAGGCGCAGAGCAAGTCTCGTCTTTACCTACTTTAAGTTAAGCCTTAGGTGGCTTTGGTGGTGAGGTGATGATCAGGCGCGCAGATTTATTGCGAGTTCCCGTGCTTGCACAAAGCTATCCAGCAATGAAAGTACAGATTACAAGAAAATGCACCGTACACACGACAACAACAGCAACCAATCAGCAGAGAACGAGAACAGCGACTATGGAGACAGCTAAAGCAGCGAAGATAATGACGGCGCCGCCAGTGACGACAGTGACAGCGAGAACAGCGGCAGCAAAAGAGCAGGCAAAGATGCAGAACGGCGACAGCATTTTAGCAGATTTATACCATATATATTACTCAACCGATTCCCATTAAACTTTGTACACTGGTGCCATTTAGCCCAACTTAAATTATAGGATAGATTTAATCTCGATTATTCGAGGGGGCGTGACACCTCCCATAAAACGGAATTTTCATACCGCATATCATATCTCAGAAAATATTTTTGATAGAGTACAGTAACTTGGTATAGATACATACATATATGTATGTAAAACCCGTTGCATACTCATGGAGGAGAGCTGCCACCTGTTTTTAAAAATCAAATACGACTTGAAATAAAGGAAATGATTTATCTGAAAATTATTAAAAAAAATGGATGACAAGAGGCTTAAAAAAGTTGTAGTTTGAAAGTATTTGCGAAAGGGTTGCCACCGGTTCGAAAAGCCAAATTTAAATTAATTATTAGCAAGCTATCTGAAAAATTAATGTATGGATGTCAAATGAAAGATTGCTAAGAAACCTTCAGATTTAGCACTTTAAATATTACTGAGGTGTTTTACAAGCGTTGCCACCCGTTAAAAAAAATAAATTAATTTAATCTAAATGAATTACTATAATATGGCTATCAATAGAAAGGTTTTTGATAAAGGCTTTAGTTCTAAACTACATGTAGGAGGGTTGCCATCTGTTTAAAAAATCAAATTCTTCTTCAATTAAAGGAATTTTATAATTGGAATATGTATCACAATATGGACGTCAGACAAGAGGGATATAATAGGGTTTAGAAAATATTTCGAAGAGGGATGCCACCTCTCTTAAAATTATTAAAATTTTGGAAATTAAGTCTGAAGTAACTTCCACGGGCCCATGGAAGTTATGTCCGTAGAAGTTATGTCAGCTAGTAGCCAGCCAGTTACCTTCGGATTCGGGGGCCTTTTTATTTAAGCAGCCTTTTTGCTATTCTCATCTCGCCTCGGTTAAGTGGAGGAACGTAAGCTTCGTCCCTATACATTGGTTTGGGTTATTCTTAATTAAGGGCGCCACCTGTGCCGCCATTCAAACGCCGTGAGGAACTGTTCCTTCCTTCCTATATTATCAGATTTCCATCTTGATGTCTACAGGAACCAGTCCGATCTTGAAACCATTTGATTGCTGCCTTATTTTCATATCAGTATATCCCCCCCAATTGCTTTTCTTTTCTAAGCTCTTCTTTGTAGGTGTGTGGGTAAGGAAGTGCTTGGTAGCTATTGAATTTAAAAATTTCATAAATTTTTTTTTTAATTTTGCATTTCTTTTAATTACACCTTTCTCTTTTTGCTTTACGTTTATTATTTCCTTTTCCGTCACTTTCTCATTTCCACCTAAACGCCATTAACCATTTGCGCATAATTTTCACAAGTTGCATTGTCGCATATTGTTGTGCCTTTCGCTATGTTTTCTCGTTTTCATTGTATTCCACAAGTAAAAGCTACCAGGCTACCAAAGGTATCACATGCAAATGCCACACAATTTTTTTTTTTCAAATAAATTCCTTTTTGTTTTAATTCATCGCCCCACTTGAAATCTTAGCTCATTGCCTTTTTCTGCTATTGCGCACTTCTCCGTTTGCTGGTCATTTATTTAATGCTTCATTTGCATTCTTACTTGCGGTCTTGCTGCCATCTTTCTATTTGGCATTGCATTATCCAACTGCTTTGTAACTACAGCGCAATTATTTTTGTGTTGTTGCATTTGTAATTTGTTGCCATTGCATAACTATTTGTCTCTACAGGAATGATTTCTTCGATTTAGTTTTACACATGGCCATTTTTCCTTGTTTATTCTAGAAAAGTTCTAGAAAATTATCCAAACATGCTATTTATGCTATCTAAGCGCCATGCTAGACAGTATGCACCGGATCGTGAGTATCCCTTCTATATTTTCGTGTTATTCATGATAGAATGCAAAGCCACTTTTCCGTTTATTAGGAAAATACAATTTTAAGTTATTACTTAAACATTTCGTTTTCAGGGAAATTTGTTTTAATTTTAGCAGAAATAGTAATGGAAGTGTAATTTGTATTCTTAGAGTGCTGCTACAACCTACGCGCAATTAAAATAACTGAACTACATATCTTGATATATAAGCCACTCAAGCACGATTGTATAAATTGCCAAAAGCTAAGTGGGACTAATAGATCCTTCAGGCCATTCAATTTATGTATGAGCGCATACTTGAGTGTACAATCAGAGTGTCGCTAATTGAAACTGATTGCAAGTACAGTAGACTTGAAAGAAAAACTTGAAAGAATAGAAAATTATGTACATACTTATATTTTGTATTTATGATTCTAATAGGCGGAGGTTTTATTAGGCAAAAATAAGTTTTCAAAAAGTACTTATAATTACGTACATACATAGGAAGAGTACTAAATTGTATTTCAGGGTTGTTAAAATTGTGTTAAATACAATTCAGTAGTAGTTCTATTCGGTTACAATTTACAAAAAAAAAAAAACAGACTACTAAAAATATTTAAAATTTTCGGGATTAGTTATTGAGCGGTGCACACAGTGCCTGAAACAAGCGACCAAATGGTGATTTTTTTAATATTAACAAATTATTTTTAATATTTTTCAAACTAGAAATTTTTATAAGTATTAGAGCTGTAAAAAATTTTAATTATTTTATTTAGCAATCAATGGTTGTGCTACCAATTTGATTGCATTAAAAATTGATTGCAATCAATTTGATCAATCATAATAAAATCACTGAATCGATCCAACATTTTTGTTGCTATTATGTTATATATTTCGTGGGTGGTGGGGCACAAGCCAACTCCTCTACTAGGTCTTTAATGACCGTGAGCCAGAGAAAGAGCGACAGGACACAACCCCCGGGCGGTGTATGAGCCTCACAATGTCAGCACCCTCTATAGTGAGAAGGGCGAGGCGACGTTTCTATTTCTCAAGGCCAAAATATTAAAATCTCAATATAATCCTGAAATATGCTGGAGCAAAAGAGACATCAAGACTTGAGTTTCCTCTTACTGGCTTATATTTAGTATTTCTGAATGAACCATTTTAAACACAAATTTTTCGTGCTAATACACAAAAGGCGATATTTAAATTATTTACTATATACTATATATACTATATACCTTACATCGCACAAAACCAACTTGTAAGCGAC